AGTTTGAGGTGTGCTGGAGATTGCTGTTCAGAAAGGTTGGGGCTAAGAATAAGGTCTCTGTTTTGTCAACTGCCTAGAACTGATAATTGAACCTCTGCTGGAACCTTTTGTTGGATGAGTTCATTATGAGAAGAGGTTTGAAAACTATTAAAATAGATCAGAAAGGTATTTTACTACGTACTTAAACCCTTGATTGTATGTTGCAAAGGGCTGTAATTTGAGCAAATGAAAATTAATTTCTGAGAGTCCTCACTGTGTGGTTAGTATAAGAAGTTTTATGCTGTTGAACTGTAACAGGTCAAATATTTTACCTATGATCTTATTTGATTTTTGGATGATGATATAAACCTTTGATTAAAAATATCTTATAAGATCTTCTGTTTTCTAGTCATTTTAGCTTTCTATTTTATAAATGCTTTAATGATATGCTAATTCTACATATTTGTTTTCAATAAGTCACATAAACCTTAGAGATTTGCTAAAGGGAATTTTAAAAATAAAAATGCATCATCAGTCATATGTTTGAAAAGTTTTAATAGCTTGAATGGTTTTCTTTGAACAAATTAAAATTTTTATTATTGTCTTTTAGTACATTTTAGAAGAATGACAAAAACTTTTAGAGTATTTGTAAATACATCTGTCTTTAAAATATAGTGTGCTTGGTTTTTAAAAAAAGCTGTCTTATAGCTACTAATTTGAATTTCAAGTGTAAAAACATATTTAAATATATGAGAATGATGATACAGATAATTTGAATCCTTATTGTAGATTTCATTCAAAACATCTTTATTTGTATGGTACAGGTAATATTTTATCAGAATCTGCATGGGGGATGTGAAAATGTTTTGTTGTACAATATTTCTTTAAAACGAATATACTGCCAAATCATATATCCAATCTGCTGGAGCCAAAGTTAATACGTTGCTTCACAGCAGTGGATTAGCAAATGAAAAGAAATACTCTGAACCCTGTAGAGGAAAATAGGAAGTGTCAAGAAAATACATCCTCCTTTCTGGTACTCCAAGTTTCTAGATCTTTGTGTGATGAGGCCCCTTTGGGGATACACTAGTAACTGTCTCTGAGCTTTGGCTACAGGCAGGAGAGCAAACTGGGGATCTCTGGGGCAGCAGCCTGGCTCTCCATCTCCTGCTTTCCTCCCAGCCCTTCCCTTGGTCATCCACCCCCTCCTGGTTTCTTTCATAAGTAGACAGGGTTAAGTGGGCCCCCTGCCCTAAAATATTAATCTCATGATCTGTCATTCCACCATTCTGGTTTTAAGTCTTTCTATTTTTAAAAAGATTTTATCTTTGAGAGACCCCCTTTTAAAATGCAAATACCCCTGGGAGAGGTCAGACCTTAGTTCTCAGTTAACATCTTGATTATTGGTTAGCACCTAAGTTAGCTGAGTTTGGCTGAGAAGAATGAAACCCTGGTTCAAAGTGATCAACTGGAAGAAAACTGGCATTTATAAAACTTATTATTTTATTATTATTGGTAGGTAATATGTACTGAGGCCATATTATTAAGTGCCAGGAAATGTGTTTTAAGTTAATTCCCTCACCGATCCTATTGGTATTATTACTGTTATTTTACAGATGAAAAAACTGAAGTATGTAAAATATAAATAATGTCTATGATCACATAGTAAATACAGCCAAATGTAAAACTCAGGTATTTGGATTCCAGTGTGTGCTCTCTAGCCATTTTGCTGTGATACCTCCCCTCTGCTATAAACATCTCTCAGAGATGACATCTGGCCAAGGTTTCACTCTTTTTCACCAGTTTTCATGGAATAGAATCATGTGTTCAATTGTAGGTGCCTCTTCCAGTTGAAGGTCAAGGACCTTGCTATCATCTAAATAGGTTTTTTAGTAACAACTGCAATGAAATAGGTAAATTCTTTGTATCCAAGGAAATGTCGATACAAAATAGAGAAGGGAGTAAAAAGGCTAGTGTATAATTTAGCAGTTACGTAACACTATCTTTGAGCTGTTCTCACTTAAAACTTACTATATAATTAACATTTATTATTTTTAAAATTTTGAAAATATGGGTTAGTAAAAAGAAAATACAATGATTTGTAGTCCCAATACCCAGAGATAACCCCGGAATAAATATATGTATGTATATTCTCTCTAGGCCTTTTTATATTGAGTCTTCTCTGAATGTTGTGCAATGTATTAACTCATTCTACCTCTTTAAAATTTTAGGATGAAATGCTTTTCTTCGAGTGTAAATAAATGGCATTTCCCTCTTCATCTCTGCAAGGATGTTGAATTAAAATTAGTCTATGATTTGCCAGAAACATGTTTAACTAAATTTTCTCTACATTCTTTATTTGGGGATCTTTTTTGGATAAAAATAGGTAGTAGACTTTGGGAGGCTGAGGTGGGAGGATCACTTGAGGCCAGGAGTTCAAGACCAGCCTGGGCAACGGTGAGAGCCCATCTCAACAAAAATATATATACATATATATTAGCTGAGTGTGGTGGTGTGTGCCTATAGTCAGGAGACTGAAGCAGGAAGATCACTTGAGCCCAGGAGTTTTGAGGTTGCAGTGAGATGTGATGAGAGCACTGGACTCTAGCCAGGGTGACAGCGAGACCTTGGAAAAAAAAAAAAAAAAGGTAGTGGAGAGTCCTATATTCTTCCCCTAACCTCCAAATTGAATCAGTTCTGTCAACCTCTGCTTCCTCCTTTAAAACTGCCACACTGCTACAGCTTTAATTTCCTTATAATCTCTGGACTAGTTGTCTCATCCCTCTTCTAGAGCTGTTTGCCATTCAGATCCCTTCGTAACCTACAAGTCTAATCATGTCATTCTCCTCTACAGAACTCCCCAGTGGCTTGATACTGCTCATAGGCTCTAGAAGCAAGCTTGGGAATAGCTGGGACAAGTGATTGCCTGAGTCCCAGGTCCCAGCGATTGGGTCTAGAAGGGGAGTTGGAAGGTGTGCAAGTTTCAGGTGGCCACATCCCCTTGGCCCCACTGACTGACTACACATTAATGGAGGAGGGCCAGAGCAAGGGTCCCCTAAAGTGTCACATCTGGTCCCTGGTTGTCTGGCTGTAAAGACAGACTGCCACTGTGTGTTGAGGTGAAAACTTTTAGTGGCAGTAAGGGTAGAAATGGGGAGACTATTTAGGAGTCTTATTGTAGTAATAAGTGAGGCTTGATTGTGCCTTGGACCAGGTTGGTGACAGTAGAGGTAATAAGTAGTCAGATTCTAGATATATATTGAAGTTAGAGCCAACCGTTTTTCCTGAAAGATTGATGTGGAGAAAAGGAATCGAGAATGACACCAAGGTTTTTTGCCCCATTCCCTGTAAAGATATCCGATAATGGAGTATATTAATCACTGATATCTCAGTTTTGCCATTAGCAACTATTGTTGAATCTTAGGAGTTCTAATAAAATACTATATTTGACCAGATTTTAGACCTCAGGAAATTTTGAAGGAAGACAAGTAAATTTAAAACGTGCACATGAAATGTGTGCACATGTGAAATTGCGTCTCTCAGTACCTGATGTCTAAAAGTTAAAGAATGAAGGGCTCTGATTACTAGGAGATTTTACAAAAAGAGGTGGGAAGAAACCAAAAATCAATTTTACCTTTGCAGTTTCCTAGGCCCTGTAGGTTGCACCGGCAGATACCATTGAAATTCATAGTTTTACTGCCCTAAAAATTTAAAGCATTAGTCATGATCCACACAATGTTTTCAGTGTTCTGTAACTAGGTCCCCACATGCACCCTGAAGTTTACGTTGAATTAATAATAAAAAAGAGTTTTGTGTTCACTACTTTTTAAATAGATTTCTGTTCATTATTAAGTACCTGTAGCAGAAATGTTCCTGACTTTAACTGATAAAGGAGCAAGTTCTTGCTCAAATCATATAGGCTTTTTCTTGTTTGTTTAGAATAAGCTTATAATTTCAGATATGGTTAGGCCTGCTAAAATATAAACCCTTATTTTATGGCTATCCACTTCATATTCTTCCTCTTTTCTCTTTATTTGCATACACATCCTTGGATATTCATGAGAGTAGTCAAACACAAAAGCATGTTCTCTTTTCTTTCTATCTCCCTAAAGCAAACTGTCACGTCTCTCAAGTCTGAGTATGTTATAGAGCCATAAAGTAAAGGCAATTATTGATTTACTAATTGGAAAGCCAAGTTTAATGGTAATTAAGTAGACTATTTAATATTTGTTTAAATAAATGGAATATTAAGATTTGTTCACTATAGCTACCATTATAGCTACCACTTACTGAGCATTTACCATGTGTCAGATAAATATTTTATTGTAATTCTTCAACAGTTCAACTGAAATTTGTATGATTTTCTCTTTTATAGATGAAATTTATAGAAGTTAAAATGTGCTCAAAATCATATACATCTAACAGTATGTGGCAGAAGTAGGATTCAAACCTAAGTTTTTCTACCTCAAAACCCATGCTTTTATCTATGATTATGCTTTAGGAACTCCACATAGGGCGCAGAATGTTTGTAAATATTAGTGAGATATATCTGGATCTTGCCAGCCCCTATTTTTAAGAAAGGAATATAGTTTTGGAAACTGTCCTCAGACTGTTGGGTAAAAAGAATAGATCTTATTCTATGAAGTGAAAAATGGTCACTACCCATTTTTTACCACTAGATGGTGGCAGAAAATTAAAAACAGAAGTTTTTAAAGGGGCCTCACTGGAGAAAGTAAAGTGAATTGTGTCCCTTCAGAGCAAGGTGGATGAGAGATTAGGGAAGTCTAGAGCAAAGGAAAAGTGAGAACTGCCAATGTTATTATGACAGGCAGCCCAGAAATTGGGAGTAGAGGGAGCAAATTTATGTTATTCTTGGGAAAATACATTATAAAAAGGAAAAATATTGGGTTCTTGTTTTCATTTTATTAAAATTTGACATTGTTCTGCTTAGTTTTCAGATATGTCAAGTATTGTGAACAGAGACTTGTTTGGATTATGTGTTTCTCAGCTAGACTAAATAAATGTTAATAATGGATAAGTGCAAGCACATTGGGCAGTTGCAGATTGCTCAAGACCATTCCATTCTCAACCCTCAGAAATGGCACTGTGTGGACTGCAATACGACTGAGTCGATTTGGGCTTGCCTTAGCTGTTCCCATGTTGCCTGTGGAAGATATATTGAAGAGCATGCACTCAAGCACTTTCAAGAAAGCAGTCATCCTGTTGCGTTGGAGGTGAATGAGATGTATGTTTTTTGTTACCTTTGTGATGATTATGTTCTTAATGATAATGCAACTGGAGACCTGAAGTTACTACGAAGTACATTAAATGCAATCAAAAGTCAAAATTATCACTGCACCACTCGTAGTGGAAGGGTTTTACGGTCTATGGGTACAAGTGATGATTCTTATTTCTTACATGATGGCGCCCAATCTCTGCTTCAAAATGAAGATCAAATGTATACCGCTCTTTGGCACAGGAGAAGGATGCTCATGGGTAAAATCTTTAGAATGTGGTTTGAACAGTCACCCATTGGAAGAAAAAGGCAAGAAGAACAATTTCAGGAAAAGATAGTAGCAAAAAGAGAAGTGAAGAAAAGACGGCAAGAATTAGAGGATCAAGTTAAAGCAGAATTGGAAAGTATGCCTCCAAGAAAGAGTTTACGTTTGCAAGGTCTAGCTCAGTCCACCACAATAGAAATAGTTCCTGTTCAGGTACCACCACAAACTCCAGCATCACCAGCAAAAGATGAAGTAGTATCTACCTCAGAAGATGTAGGACTTAAAAAAATCAGTGACTCCTCAGTTAAACGAAGGCCAATAGTAACTCCTGGTGTAACAGGATTGAGAAATTTGGGAAATACTTGCTATATGAATTCTGTTCTTCAGGTATTGAGTCATTTACTTATTTTTCGACAATGTTTTTTAAAGCTTGATCTGAACCAATGGCTGGCAGTGACTGCAAGTGATAAGACAAGATCTGCTTATAAGCATCTAGCAGTTACAGATACAGTAGTATATCAAATGAATGAATGCCAAGAAAAAGATACAGGTTTTGTTCGGTCCAAACATTCAAGTTTGTCATCAGGACTAAGTGGTGGGGCATCAAAAAGTAGAAAGATGGAGCTTATTCAGCCAAGAGAGCCAAGTTCCCAATACATTTCTCTTTGTCATGAATTGCATACTTTATTCCAAGTCATGTGGTCTGGAAAGTGGGCCTTGGTCTCACCATTTGCTATGCTACACTCAGTGTGGAGACTAATTCCTGCTTTTCGTGGTTATGCCCAACAAGACGCTCAGGAATTTCTTTGTGAACTTTTGGATAAAATACAACATGAACTAGAGACAACTGGTACCAGTTTACCAGCTCTTATCCCCACTTCTCAAAGGAAACTTATCAAACAAGTTCTGAATGTTGTAAATAACATTTTTCATGGACAACTTCTTAGTCAGGTTACATGTCTTGCATGTGACAACAAATCAAATACCATAGAACCTTTCTGGGACTTGTCACTGGAATTTCCAGAAAGATACCAATGCAGTGGGAAAGATATTGCTTCCCAGCCATGTCTGGTTACTGAAATGTTGGCCAAATTTACAGAAACTGAAGCTTTAGAAGGAAAAATCTATGTATGTGACCAGTGTAACTGTAAGTAAAGACAGTATATTCTCTGTGCTTTTCTAGGAGTGATAAAGAGGAAACACAAATGAAAGGAAGCTGGAACAAATTTCTTAACTATCAAATTTCTTAAGAAAAACAAACTTTTAAGTTCATCAAAAGAAATCAGACTAGACATTTCTACTTTATAATTGGTGTTTACAAACCATTTGTATTGCTTTATTGATGGCATTTAAATTATTTTTGATCCTGTAGTCATTGTGGAAAGAAGGGACTCATAAAATAAAGTTACATTTCATATGTGGAACAAAATAAAGTAGCAAAGAACAGTAAAAAGAAAGCATTTCATGTAGTGTGAATGCAGTGTTTGCTTTATGAATTTTTTTGCTATATATCAAAGCATTATATGTAGGTAAGTGTGTATATATACATATGTAATAGGAAATAATATATACTGGACTGCTGCTGTGGAGATTGGCTTCATAAAAACAAAGATTGCAGGCACAGTGGCTCACATCTATAATCCCAGCTACTCAGGAGGCTGAGGCAGGAGGATCCCTTGAGCCTAGGAGTAAGCACAGGAACCCGACATTGGGGGTGAAA